CCGACTGAGCCACCCAGGCGCCCCTAGACTTTAAAACAAAGACTGTAGGGGAGCCTGGCTGGCTCAGTCAGTTGAGCATGCAACTTCGGCTCAGGTCATGATCTTATGGTTCATGGGTTCGAGCCCCACATCGGACTCTGTGCTGATGGCTCAGAGCCTGGAGCCTGCTTCGGATTCTGTGTCTCCTTCTTTCTCTGCCCCTCCCCTGCTCACATTCTGTCTGTCTGTCTCTCTCAAAAATAGACATTTCTTACAATTTAAAAAAACAACAAAGACTGTAACAAGAGACAAAGAAGGATCTTTATAATAATGATCAAGCCAACAATAAGATATAACAATTGTAAAAACCATTGCAAGAGATGGATTTCAGGGTACCCCTGGCTGGCTCAGGCCATACAGCAAGTGACTCTTGATCTTGGGATCGAGAGTTCAAACCCTACATCAAGCCTAGAGCTCATTAAAAAGAGAGAGAGAGAGATGGATTTCAGCATGACAGCATGAGGGGCTCCACAGACCCAGGCTCCAATAAAATGGGTGAAGAGTGTAAAAAATCAATCAATGGGGCGCCTGGATGGCTTAGTCGGTTAAGCGTCCAACTTTCGCTTAGGTCATGATCTCGCAGTTCGTGGGTTTGAGCCCCGCGTCGGGCTCTGTGCTGACTGCCAGCTCAGAGCCTGGAGCCTATTTCAGAGTCTGTATCTCCCTCTCTCTCTGACCCTCCCCTGCTCACGCTCTCTCTCTCTCTCCTAGAAATAAATAAAAATATTTAAAAAAAAAAAAGATCATTTACAGTATCTAGAAGTGGTCCTAAGCTTATACACAAATGATAAAATATCTATTGAGGAAAATCCACTAAAATTTGAGAAGAGTGTGCGGTATCTGAGCCCAAACTGCTCCCTCTCTCCCTACCCCCACTCCAGATCGGTGCAGCCGAGAACACAGGACCCCCTCTCCCCTCAGCGCCCTGTCACAGGACTTTCTTCAAGGGAGGGGCAGGCCACTGGCGTCTGTCATCCTGTACCAGCTACCTGTGGCTGAGGCAAAGTTTGGGCAAGTGTGGCCAAGAGGTGGGGACTCGCTTCTGCTCAGCTTCCACTCCTGAAATGGAGACTCCACCTTGAGTGTGATGTCACCGAGGATACAGAGGGCTTGGCTGTGGCTGTCCTGGCTTGTAAGGTGGTGGCTTCGTGCCAGGAGAGGCAAGCTGAGAGGACTGGAGGCTACTGTCTCCCCTCTGTCCCATGCTCCACTCCTAAACGAGGGCATCACTCAGACAGAAGCACACCACTGTCCCCCACCCCAGCTCCAGAGCCCTGGCTTAGAGATTTGGCCCGGGACAGAAGCAGGCTATAAAATGCATAGGTCCTGGGGCACCTGGATGGATCGGTCCGGCTCTTGATCTCAGCTCAGGTCTTGATCTCAGCGTCATGAGTTCAAGCCTGCATTGGGCTCGAGGCTGGGCATGGAGCCTACTACAGAAAAAACATAAAACAAAACACACGCACACACACAAACTCAACCATATAAGGTCCTAATCTCTTCCTAGAGGAACTGGCTTTATTTGCAACAGAAGGTGGAGAAGGTCAATCGTAAGGTCTATCTGGTGAAAGGCAACTGGGAGAAGATTGGTAGATTTGATGAAGCTATAGGTTCAAGAGTAAGCCAGCTAGTTTGCAGGAGAGAACCAGGGAAGGGGACAGCTCACAGGGGCCCTCCTGAGTAGGAACACTAACCAAAGGAGCTACTCCTTCCAAGGAGCCCAGGCTGCAGAGCAATTTCTGCCCCAGGGCATTGTTGTAAACCATAGAGCAATCAGATGGCAATTCATGGAGCTTAAGGGCTGGGTTGGGTCAGGGAGAGAGGTGTAGAGAGCCCAGCCCAAACCACAGCCAACCCAGGTGACATACCCCCCAATCACACCTCCCTATGGGGAAACAGCAAAGGTTTAAGACTTTAGGGGAATCAGGGGTCGGAAAGGGGTTGGCTTCCCTAAAATAAGCCAGCCAATCATTGAACAAGCAAATAACAAACCTGGGATGGAGAATGGGAGTCTACTACCCAAAGTTCCTACAGTAGATTTTTAAAAATTTTTTAATGTTTATTTATTTTTGAAAGAGAGAGAGAGTGTATGTGGGGGAGAGGCAGAGAGAGCAAGAGACACAGAATCTGAAACAGGCTCCAGGCTCCGAGCTAGCTGTCAGCACAGAGCCCAACGCGGGGCTCGAACCCATGAACCGTGAGATCCTGACCTGAGCTTAACCGACTGAGCCACCCAGATGCCCTGCTACAATATATTGTCTTAAATATACCGTTTCCATCAAAAGGGTAGGAAACAAGCAAAAGAAGTAGGAAAGCAAGACTCTGCTCTCACTCTGGAAACAGATCAGAGCAGGAAGTGCCTTGTGAAAGTGGCCAGATGTTAACAGAGATGGAAAAGTAACCATGAGGACACTGTCAAGTTCAGAGGCAGATGGAGCAGGTGGAAAAGGTCTGCTCCATCGGGAACGATGAAGGCCTCTGCTGGCCTCAGAGGGGACAGTTTCAGGGGGGTGACCAGATGCAGGGAGACACGGAGATGGCACAGACTTCCCCTGCCCCTCCCTACCCAGCAGGAAGGTAGCTGGAGGTAACCAAGGAGCGGGAACCGGCTGGTGCAGAGAGCCCAGCTGGAGCTGAACACGGAGTGGCACCATCTATTCTGGAAGGAGAGACTCCTGGTGGTGCTCAGCCAGGCCAGAGCGCGGGAAGCAGGGAAGAGGGGACAGTGCACAGGCAGGTCTTAGAGCATGAATCCAGGTCGGAGTTGTGCAGAGCAGAAAGCCAGGAACATAGGAGAGTCTGGGCTATGATCCAGGGTCATAATCTGTCCTGCCTGGACAGAAGTTTCGGGGCTGATGTGCGGGAGGCCCTGGAAAGGCAGAGATGGAGGCTGTGTGAGGCTGCCAATGAGCAATGAGAATAACAGGTAGACGGCTGAGCGCCTTGGTCTGAGCTGGGTGGTAAAGGCACTGGAGCTGAGGGCGCCTGGGGGGCTCAGCAGGTTAAGTGTCTGACTCATGATTTCGGCTCGAGTCATGATCTCACACTTTAAAGGATCGAGCCCCACGTCGGGCTCCAAGCTGACAGTGCAGAGCCTGCTTGGGATTCTCTCTCTGTCCCTCCCCCACTGCTATCCCCCCCCAATAAATAAACTTTAGAAAGAAAGGTGTAGGGGGTAGACTGTACTCATTGACACAGATGGGGGGGCAGCTCCCACACAGGAGGCGAGCACCCCCCCAGTCCCTTAAGGCTGGAGTCCAGGCAGGTGGAGGCTGGACCTCAGTGAGGACCCAGCTGGTAGATTTAAAGATGGGAAGTTGGAGAAACTAAAGAGTTGGCTTTGGGGGCGCTTGGGTGGCTTAGTCGGTTAAGTATCCGACTTTCGCTTAGGTCATGATCTCGCGGTTCGTGGGTTCGAGCCCCGCGTCGGGCTCTGTGCTGACTGCCAGCTCAGAGCCTGGAGCCTGATTCGGAGTCTGTGTCTCCCTCTCTCTCTCTCTCTCTCCTAGAAATAAATAAAAAATATTTTTTAAAAAATAAAGAGTTGGCTTTGAACGACACTTTAGATGAGATGGACATCATCTCATGGATGGATGGATATACATAACAGATATACAGAGAGAACATTCTATCCAAACACCATGGAACATGCATTCTTTTCAGTGTACACAGAACACATAATAGGCGACAACACACTCCATCAATTCAAAAAGACCAAAAATTTAAAAAAAAATTTTTTTAAAGAAGAAATGAATAGTGGTTCCCTTTGCCTCCATAAAGTAGAAGAGGCATTTACTGAAAGCAAGGGTGGGTGGGCTCAGAGAGGGCCTGATGGCTTATTAAGCCCTGCGGGGAGACAGGTGATATCTACAAGGACTCTGATGACCAAAAACTGAAATAAAAGACTTGAAATCATCAATTCCAAGTAGCGCCTGCCAAGGAGGTAGGAGGTGGGGCGCCTGGGGGGCTCGGTCGGTTAAGTGTCTGACTTCGGCTCAGGTCATGATCTCATGGTTCGTGGGTTCGAGCCCCGCGTCCGTCTCTGTGCTGGCAGCTCAGAGCCTGGAGCTGCTTTGGATTCTGTGTCTCCCTCTCTCTCTGACCCTCCCCTGCTCACACTGTTTCTCTCTCTCAGAAATAAATAAAACATTAAAAAAAAAAAAGGCAGTAGGAGGTACAGCTCGCTCTGAGTCAGTCTTGAACACAGGCTAGACCCTGCCCTTTGCAAGAGCCAACCCTCACCCCTGCGAGGCCCATGTGGGAGGTGAGAGAAGCCGGCCTGAAAGACCCATTCCTGCCCACAGGCGCAGGCCCCGGAAGCTTCTCTGGCTGGCCGCATACCTGTTGCCTCGCCCAGATTTGCTCCCACAAATGAACAGGTGATGGTGGATCTTCCCAGAAGGGAGAGGCTCCCTCTCATCCCTGAAGATCTCACAGGTTAGGGGGGGCCTAAGGCCCTGGACGCAGCCCGCAGGAGAATATTACTCCCCTCCCCACCCCTATCTACTGCTCACTTCTGCGGAGGGCCTTGCTTCAAGACCCCAGGGAGCCAGGGCTGCCCCGCCCTTATAGGTGACGCCCTTTCTGGCGACAACAGAGGCCTTGCCACGCCTTCCAGGTGGTCCCTCTGCCACCGAGAGCCCCAGGCTGGCCTGGGTTTGTAAAGGAACGCTGTGCGAATGAGGACCCTGGCCGCCCCGGACGGTCACCAGATTAGGAGAGGGACGGTCTCGGCTCCCCCCACCCCATCCCACCCCGGCAGACGCCCTACGCACCTCGCCCCCTCCCCCTCCGACGCAGGGCCGGTTCTTCCCTTCTCGCCGCCGCTCCCCAGCGGTCCCGGCGAACCGCCCACCCCCCTCCCATTTTGCCCGCACTTCTGACCAGGGCCAGACCGACAGCTCCGGAGGGTCCTTCCGAGGTGAGCCTCGGGGCCGCAGTCTCCCCGGCGTCCCGCGCCCGGAAACCACGGTCAAGGGCAGAGCGCGCAGTGCGCGGCCCACCCGGCAGGTGGCGGCGTCTGCCCGCGCCCCGCCCCCCACGGGGCCCCCAGGACCGCGCGCGCCCGCCCTTGACCGCGGCAGGAGAGTGCCCCGAGCAAACCCCAGTTCGTCCGGGTGCCCGCTGCCCACGTATTCGGGACAGAGGGCAGCTCCGGGCGCCGGAGGGCAACGCGTCCGCCCCCGGGACCCGCCCCGCAGCCCCCGAGGGTGCAGAGCGCCGGAGCGGGAGGGGAGCGGCGGGGCGGGGAGGCGCCGCGGGGGCAGGAGGAAGGCAGGGCGGGTGGGGCAGGGCGGCCGCCTCCAGAGTCCGGCCCGGCCCTCCCGCGCCTCTCCCCCGCGCCCGGGACGGCGGCAGACGGGGCGCCCGCGGGTGAGGGCTGCATGGGGCCCCCGCGCGGCCCGCTCTTCTGGCTGCTGCTCCTGCTCACGGCTGCCTGCTCGGGGATCCTCTTCGCTCTGTACTCCTCGGCGGTGGGGCCCTACCCGGGGCCCCGGTCTGGAGCCAGGTAGGGGCTGCGGCGCGGTCCGACCGGAAGGGCGCAGGGGCCGCGCGGGGCGCCCAGCCTGGGCCCCCCAGTAACGCCCGCCGCGTTGGCCTCCTTGGGGCCGGGGGGCCCTTTGTCCCCAGAGGCTCCACCCGGGCGTCCAACCTGCGCTGCCCGGTCCCCACAACCTTTGGCGGGGTCCGAGAAAGACCTCGCACCTGGAGCACCGGCCTCTGGCTCCCCAAAGTCCTGTGGGTTCGTCCCCTCCGGCCCTGGTTGGAAACTCTTCCTATTGTCCAGATTTGGGGTCCGATAAAAAACAGCCCCGTGTTTGTCGGGAACTCTCCCTCGCTATTGGTCCACTTCACCGACTCTGCTTTTGGGGAAGGGACCCAAGTCCCGGTTCCGACGTCGCCGGGACCCGCAGCTCGACTGTGGCGGGTGGCCTCTCCTCCCCGCGCCCCGCTCCCTCTGTCCCCCGCGCGCCGTTGGCTCTGTTCCTTCTTTTGAGAAGCACTGTCTGGGCGCGACCCCGCGACGCGGCGGACTCCCCCGGGGGCACGGGCGGATTCGGGGTCGCACCCGAGGTCCTCTCCTTGGAGCCCTTCTGGCTCCACTGCCGCCCGCCCGCCCAGCGCACCTTCCGTGCGCTTGAGCCCCGGAGGTAACCCTGCGAGCCCGCGTTGTAGGCGGTCTTGCCCGTTACTGAAGAAGCCCCCGAAGGATTCGGTTTTACGTCTGGGAGGCGGATCGAGCTGTGCCAGAGGCTGGGTTAGGAAGGCCGCCAGGGCCCCCGCAGCCTCACCGACCGGCCTGGGCGCCCAGGCTTTCCCCTCCTGCGCCCTCCTCCCTAAACCTCGCTGCAGGCACAATGAGATGCCAGCAAAGTCTCTATCTTCTCGGGAAACAAGGTCAAAAGGCATCTAAAGTTGCAAAACAATAGAAAACACGTGCAACTCGTTAGGAGCCCAGGCCCTTTAGAACAAAGGGCGCTCTAGCGGCTGGTACCTGGAGTTACTTCAGCTCCTTGCAGCCCTAAGTTGCATAAGGCGAAGCACGGAAGTAAGAGAATCCTTTGTGAAATTTACATAAAAGATGTTTTGAAACACATTTAAACATCCTTTGAAAGTATCTAATAAACTTTAAATATGAGGTTGCTGAACAGACATCCATTATGCCTCCACAAAGTCTTTAAAGGTCTTTTCATCTTTTAGAAAGATGTAAACCCGAACGTTCCCCGTATGTTTGCGGGAGGGCCTCCCTGTAGGAGGTGGATATTTCGTGCCCAGCGAGGCTGGGTGAGGCTGGGTGGGAAGCCGGATGGTATTGGGAGGCGGGGGCAGGCCCCATCGTGGGTGGGAAAGCAGATGGCCTGGCCAGAGAGTAGGGGGGCAGGTGCCGGGGACCCCGACTTCTGAGCCTGAGGCCCGGCTGGCATTGCAGGTTAGAGAGTGGAATCCAGCCCAGGAATTTACCCATGGCAGTAGAATCTGGGTCAGCAGTTTCCAGACATCAGGATAGCTAGACTTGTTGGGGGGGGGGGCTTTTTTATGGGGGGGCGGGGCCGATGGTGAGGACAGATAGAGGCTGCCGTTTACCTGCCGGTTACCACCCGTTGTTAACGTTATTTGAGGTTTTTTTTTTTTTTTAATTTTTTTTTAATGTTTTATTTATTTCTAGGAGAGAGAGAGACAGCGTGAGCAGGGGAGGGTCAGAGAGAGAGGGAGTCACAGACTGAAACAGGCTCCAGGCTCTGAGCCGGCAGTCAGCACAGAGCCCGACGCGGGGCTCGAACCCACGAACCGCGAGATCATGACCTAAGCGAAAGTCGGATACTTAACCGACTAAGCCACCCAGGCGCCCCTGTTTTTTTTTTTTTGAGGTTTTTTTTTTTAAGTTTGTGTATTTATTTTTTTGAGGGAGAGAGAGAGAGAGAGCCAGTGAGTGTGAGCTGGAGGGAGGGGAGGGGCAGAGAAGGGGGGGTGGGAGGGAGACAGACAGAATCCCAAGCAAGCTCTGCGCTGTCAGTGCAGAGCCCGATGCGGGGCTCAATCCCACAAACCCCAAGACCATGACCTGAGCGACATCGAGAGTTGGTTACTTAACCAAGTGAGCCACCCAAACGCCCCCATATTATTTCGTAAAAGAAAGGACCTGTGAGGACCAAGAAATTCCTAAGAATATGATCTAAACGGAATAGGTTGAGTTCTATGAAAAACGCACGACAGTGGTAACTCTTTATCTACAGTTTGGTTTTCCCTGGACTCAGTTACCCCCAGTCAAGCCAAGTCTGGAAGCGGATAATCCTCCCTCTGACATAGAGTCAGAGGTCAGTAGTAACCTAATGATAAGTCACAATGGTTCACCTGACTCCGTCTCATCACCCAGGCTATTTTATCATCTCACCTCATCACCAGAGTGGTGAGTGCAGTAAGACGGACGTTTAGAGAGATCCCATTCATAGAACTGCTATTACGTTACACCGTTATAATTGTTCTATTTTATTATGTTTTTTAAAACTTTGAACATTTATTTATTTTTGAAAGAGAGAGAGACAGATTGCGAGCGGGGGAGAGGCACAGAGAGAGAGGGAGACACAGAATCTGAAGCAGGCTCCCGGCTCTGAGCTGTCAGCACAGAGCCAGACGCGGGGCTTGAACTCAAAAATCACGAGATCATGACCTGAGCCGAAGTCGGCTGCTTAACTGACTGAGCCCCCGGGTGCCCCTGTTCTACTTTATTATTAATTATTGTTGTGACTCTCTTCCTATGCCTGATGTATAAATTAAACTTTATCATATGTATATGGATGTAGAGGGAAACACACAGTATGTACAGAATCCAGATGCACACAGTCGTACGGAGGTCGGTACTGACCCTGGTTTCGGGCATCTGCTGGGGGTCTTGGAACGTATCCCCAGGATAGGGAAGGACCACTGTACAAGGTCCTATTTCTCATTAGGCCGGGAGAATACCCAGGAAGGGCAGATGTGGGCCGGCCCCCTTCCTCACTCCTTCCCGGCTCTCCAAACAGGTATCTAGAAGCCCAAGCTTGGATTCCTAAGAAGGAGGGAGAAGTCACCGAGCACTGGGAGGATGGGGGGGATGCCCTGGAGATGGGCAGGGCTCCCTGAGGCCGGGGTGTTCAGGACAGAAAACAGAAAAGGGGTGAGGGCTCTCCAGCCTCACCCCTGCAACCCTATCCCTGGGGTCCCCAAGCCTGCCCTGGCCAGCAGCTCCTCACCTGTCCCCGCTTACACTGGAGCCTCCTGGCGGAGCTCGGGGCTCCTCCCGCCAGCGGCAGGTAGGGGGTCTGAAGAAGCCTCACGCATCCCGTGATCTAGGGAAGTTGCTAGATCACAGGATACTAGCTAGTTACTAGGAGGCGTAGACCAGTCAGATCAGAACTGTGGGGGTGGGGCCTTGGGCTCCCTGGGGCTCTCTCTGCCCCTGAGGCCGAGTGCCGTGGTCCCCATCCTATCCTGGAGCTGAGGAGAGGGATGACAGGTTTGGGGTGTGTGCGGGTGCAGGTGGCCATCAGAGCGGGGGAGAGGGAGGGATCATTCCAGCTCTTTCTGGCCCGCCCCCTCCTGGGCCCCATGGAAACCTGAAGTGAGGCGGGTCACAAGCGCCTCAGCTGGCTCGCACCTCAGAAGCAAGTAACAAAAGGCCTTTGTTTCCTTGCAAACTGCCGACCCAGATCCTCCCCACCTGCTTCTCCGTGGGTTGGAGAGGAGGCGGGAGGCAGGGAGAAGCCCCGACACCCTTGGGAATAGGCAGGGGCCCCTGTTCCTTCCGTTCGCTCTCTTCCCTGATGCAGGGGTGCGGGGGTCGCCTGGGAGGGGGGAGTAGCCGTGGAGGGGTAACACCAGCTCCTTCCCTCCGTCCCCAAGGGACACTGTCACAGCTTGTCACAACAGGGCCCTTTTCCTGCTTCCTTTAGGTCACAAGAGCTAATACTTAGAGGACACTTTGTGAGTGAGAGGATACAGGTTCTCTGTTTGAATCCTTCCGACAACAGGTCGTGCGATACGGTTATTAGTCGTTATCGCTATGATTATGTGATACGATTATGTGATAGTCATATCACTATGATTACATCCGCGGCACAGATGCAGAGAGTTCAGAGAAATGAGGCAACTTCCTAGATCACAGGGTACAAACCTAGGGGGTGAGGCTTCAGACCCCAGGCCTGCGATCAGCAGGAGCCCGGAGCCCACCCCAAGGCAAAGGGGTACCTGACATCTGGGACCTGACGCCTGCCTCTGGGGCCTTGCCAGGAGGTCCCTCTGATGGCGCCAGGGGGCTTGGCAAGCTTTCCTGTGTTAGGTTTTCATGCTTTACCCGCCATCTCACTGTCCTGTAAACCCCACGTTTCTGCCGTTTGCCATGGGATTTCTTGATTTCTGGCGTTTATAGAGCTGAGCAAAACATTATAAGGGAATGATATTTTTGTTTCCAAAGAGAGAGAGACGGGGCAAAAATCAGAGCACAGGAGGATCAAAGGAATGACACCTTTGACCTTGACCTTGTCAGCCCCCGGAGCTGAGTCCAACGCCTGCTTTACTTCCTCTTCTCCCCCAGGAACGCCACATCGTCCCGAGTGTTCTTTGGACGCAAGGCATCAAACGCTGAGACGGGAAAGGTAAGATGGTCCACTCTTCTGCCAGTTTCAAGCATCTTCGAATTCATAGGGAGGAGGCGAAAAAGAAAAGCGAACCAGAACATTCTTGTAAGGCTGCTGGGCCAGAGCACTCGGGAACCCCTAAACCATGAAGCTTTGAGCTGAACAGCCAGCCAGAGCTGCCCCCGAGGGTTCCCTGTACCCCAGGAGCAGAGAAGGGGTACAGCCAGGTGACAAATCTTGGGGAGATCCGGTGATTTATCTTGAAAAAGCCTGTGAACTTGACATTCTTCTCAGAATGCCTTTTTTTTTTTAAGATTTCTTTTTTTTTTTAATGTTTAGTTTTTGAGGGAAAGAGACAGCTCCAATAGGGAAGGGGCAGAGACAGAGGGAGACACAGAATCCAAAGCAGGCTCCAGACTCTGAGCTGTCAACACAGAGCCCGATGCGGGGCTCAAACTCATGAACCGTGAGATCATGACCTGAGCCGAAGTCGGACGCTCAACTGACTGAGCCACTCAGGCACTTTTTAAGATTTTATTTTTAAGTAATCTCTGCATCCCAGGTGGGGCTCAAACTCATAACCCCAAGATCAAGAGCCTCAGGCCGAGCCAGCAGGGCGCCCCTCAGAATGTCTTTTTACTATAAAAGTCACATTTAAACTGTCTGCCATGGAATAAACAAGCAAACCCTGGGAAGGTGCCGCCGGCTTGCCGGGGTGGGGGTTAAGAACCTTCGAGGCCCGGCTCCGTGAGGAATGGTCAGCATTAACTGTGGGCTGAAGCACCGTCTGAAACGCATCACCCACTTAATTCTGTCACTTAAGCTGCTCAGCAGCTGTGTCCTATGGCTTTTACGGGTGAACAAAACATGGCCCAGAGAGGTGGAGTACCGTGCTCGGGGTCCCTCCGGGAGAAGAGGTGGTACTGGAATGGGAGCCTCTGCTTTGACCCCGGGCGTGGCCTCTGAGTCACTGAGGAGCCCAGACAGCCCCACCCCCTCCAGGCGCTGTGGCTGAGCAGGACCATGACCCTGTTGTTCTGAATCCCTTCAGGTTTAAGAGTTGTCTTCAATACCCTAGAGGCCCAACTCGGACTTGTTAGGACTTGTTAGCCGAGGCCTCAGGGGAGAAGATTTCACTGCATCTAAAACATAGGGAACAGCTGAGCTGTTCAGGGGCGGAGCAAGGAGCCCTGGGCAGGTGAGGGGGTCTCCATCTTGAGGACAGAGGCAGGGTAGACACTTGGTCTGCGGGCTGAAGAGAAACCTCTAGCATCTTATGGGTGCTTATGGGTCATCTTTATGTCTCTGAACGTTCTTCCCACCTTGAGCTGCTTGATGTTAACAGACATATCCCCGCCTGGTTTTAAAAAAGGATTCGAGATGACTTTGGGGTATGCATAACTAGGCAAACATATAAATAGAATAAAATGAAGAAATGGCTGGAGGGAAAAATAAAGGTAGGAGAATAAGACAACGTCATGTAGATAAGTGCATGAAAAATGTGCCACAAGGTGCAAGGGACGGGCCACGTATCTGGCCCTGAGCTTCCTAGCAGCCACAGTGAAAAAGGAAATAGCAAGCCAACTGTCCTAACGAAGCACAGCCCTTCCCGATATAAAAACTGAAGAGTTTTCTCCTGGCATCTTGTAAAGAAGGCCCTGGAAAACATCCCAAAGAGAAGCTGAAGAGTAATGAAATTTATACCGTCAGTTTGGCTACAATGCTTGCTTTGAAAACCTGAATTTGTTCCAAGAAGATTGGTTATCTTAGGAAACGATTGGAGCGTAACACAAATTCTGTGTTTGCTTCTGAGTGATCTGTCCTTGAGAACACTGAGGTTAAATGCAGAAAACCACACCCCTCCAAAGGGAGCCACATAGGAATCGACAAAATACACACACACACACGCGCCCTTCAGACACGCACCTCGCTGAGTGTGCTGTAACCCTCTTCCCACTACTTCACAGTAACTGACAGGCTAACGTGAGCAAACGTCGAGGCTTTTCCAAGGTCAAGTGCCACATGTTTAGTGGAACGTAGTAGCTCTTAACTGCCGGGCGTATGAAACTGTGCTTCCGTCTTTGTTAGGCTCCCTTTGTTTTCTGCATAACCAGCAAAGCTTGCGTGCTGCACCACTAATCCCGTTTTCCAAAAGCCCTGTGGTTTGACTGTAGTTTTGCCCGGTGTGGTCGTTTCTTGGCGTCCATGGGGCACATTATAGCAGAAATGATCACGCAGCTCTTTCCTGCACTCCATCATCAAACCAGCCCTTCGGTGGGAAGGGCAGCCCCACCCAGGTCAAGGCTGTGGGGGATTCTGATACTGGGGTCGCAGGCAGATGGGGTTGGAGCCTGTTCAGTACTTCACCCTCCCTCGAGGAAACACTGTATCGTTTCCTAGGGCTTCTGAAACAAATTAGCACAAACTGGAGGTGGAGGCAGGTGGCTGGGGGTGGGGGGCGCCTAAAACAAGAACAATGGATTCTCTCACAGTTCTGGATCCCAGATGTCCAAAATCAAGGGGTCAGCAGAGCCACCTTCCTGAAAGTTCTAGGGAAGAATCCTTCCTTGCCTCTTCCGGTTTCTGTGGCTTGTGGCCACATCATTCCAGTCTCTGCGTCTGTCTTCACACGGCTTTGTAGGGACACCGGTCATTGGATCTGGGCCCCCCCTAAACCCGTATGACCTCATCATCCTGATGAACTACATCTGCAAAGACCCTATTCCCAAATAAGGGCACATTCTGAGATTCTAGGCAGACAGAATTTGGGGCGGGGGGTGGGGGTGGGACACTGTTCAACCCAGTACAGGTACTGCCTGGAAGGAAATGGTGGGAATTTTCCCGGCAGCCCACTGCACACACATCTTATGGCGCTGCCAGAGCTGGGGTTTGGACCCAGGCCGGAGCTCCTCCACTAAAGGACAGGCGAGTCTTAACCCATTTTTGTGCAGAAACGCCCCAAAGTTTCTCTAGGTGCGGAGTAAGGGAATCCATCAGGCCGTGGAGATGCGGCGTCCAGAAGAGAAAGGATTGGGCAGGATAAATCCAGAAAGCTCCGACCCTCAGCACGCTGCTATGCCGCAGATCAGCTCAGCTGGGGGGTCTGGGGGTGAGCCGGGTCTGGAGGGGAAGGACAGCTCTTCTCTCCCCAGCTCCCCGTGGGGTCTGCAGGCTCCTCCTGGGAAGGCTCCCACCCCCGGCTGATGGAGCTCAGCGCCCTTCCCTCCTGCCCCGACAGAGCCCGCACTGCCAGCACTCGCTCTACCTGGCCATCCAGAAGCACCCCCGCTTCCGGGCCCTGTTCAATCTCTCCACTCCAGTGCTGCTCTCGGGGGGCCTCTTCACCCAGCAGCTCTGGGACAGCCTGAGCCGGCACAAAGCCCCCTATGGCTGGCGGGGGCTCTCCTTCCAAGGTACCCGGCGGCCGTCGCTTCTCCCCCAGCCCTCTGGCCCCGGCGAATCCCTTCTCCTGTGCAGACCCTGCCCTCACAGCACCCCCACACGCCCCACCCCGTGGCCCTTGCTTCCCAGGAAGGTCTCAGGGCTCACCCCCCAGCAGTGTGACTCCTGCCGGTCCTCCCAACCTCGTAAGCACCACGGGGTCAGGGAAAAGGGCCTGGCTGTCACCTTCTGGCGCCGAGGTCCAAAGGTGGCCAAGCACAGGCGCTACGGGGCCTCAGACAGTCAGAAAGCCTGCTGGCGGTGGGAAACTGCCCAGAGCCCCCCCGCCCCGTTCCATCTGCACCCCACCCTCAGTTCAGCCCGTGGTCCCACTGACCATTCACTCTCCCCACCTCCCCCTGCCCGCCGCCACCCTCCGTGCCCTGGGAGGGGCGGGTGTCACACCTCTGGCAGGTGGGGTGCCAGAAGCAGTCTGGGGGAGGCCCCGACCCACATGACATCCCTCCTCTTAGCGCCCCACCTTGTCTGGCACCCACAGCCATCAACTCCACCCTGCGCCTCCTGAATGACTCCGAGAGCTCCCAGCTGTTTGCTGCCTCCAGGAAGCCGCTTTCAAACTGCATTCGCTGCGCAGTGGTGGGGAATGGAGGCATCCTGAATGGTTCGCGCCAGGGTCAGAACATCGATGCCCATGACTACGTGTTCAGGTGTGTGGGCCAGGAGCCAGGGGTGTGGCGGGAGACGAGCTGGAGAGGGGGGGCTAGCCCCTGGGGGAGCCCCGGGCCAGCACCGGCCTCGGGAGGTAGTGATAGACAAGCGGCCGGACAAAGGCATATGTATAGACCGGCTCTGAAGTCGGAGTGTGGGTGCCGCGTGCGGGGGGCGGGGAAGGAACCACCACGGCCGGATGTGCCCATTTCCCTTGAGGTCTGGAGGGGCAGGTATGGGCCCGGCGACCCACGCTGGTGGCGCCCTGGGGAGGGCATGGTCTGCGCAGAGGCCTGGGGACGGACGCAGCAGATCCAAGTACAGACACAGCACGGTGTGACCGTGAGGGACCTCTGTTTGGACCAGACTCAATGGCGCTGTGATCAAAGACTTCGAGAAGGATGTGGGCACCAAGACCTCCTTCTATGGTTTCACTGTGAACACCATGAAGAACTCCCTCATCTCCTACGGGAGCCTCGGCTTCACCTCTGTACCACAAGGCCAGGTGAGGCGTCCGACGGGCGTGCAAGGCCACGGACAGCCAGCGCCATTGTTCCCAGAGCCCCCTCCGTGGGGCAGACCTTGGCCCCGGCCCAGGAGACAGAGAGGCTGTGCCAGGGTCCTGGGTGCCTGTGGTGGGCCCATTGAGGAGGGGGATCTGGGCAGGGACACCCATAGTTTCAGGCAGCGCGGGGCTCCTCTGGGGTAGAGCGCGAATGGCTAGCGTTTACTGAAAGCTTACAGGGTGCCAGGCGCTGGACCTCTACCATGTCTGTCCCATTTTACTGATGAGGAGACTGAGGCCACGTGCCCTTCATTCAGCAAGGCGGCGGCAGGGCCAGCTGCCCATTTTCCAGATGCAACATGCCTGTCCAAGGCCCCCATGCAGCTGAGAGAATGAAAACCAGGCCCCTCTGGCCACCTTAGTGCGAGGGACCTGAACTGCCCTCCCGAAGGACGAGGTGTGCCTTCCCCATTCCACAGCAGCCTGTGAAGGAGACAGGTTCAAAGGGACTGAGCCACCTGCCTGGGGGGGCAGGGGGGGGGCAGAACCTGAGGCCGCCCACTGCCTCCAGCTCCTTCAGCCACACCCATTTGTGGGAACACTGCCCCTCCCTCAAGAGCAGTCCCAGAAGAAGATTGAGTTTCTAGAAGCTTCCTCCTTGGAGCAGGAAATTCAGGAGTGTCCTAGCCACGGCAGGACCTTGCTTAGCTCATGATAAAATGAAACGGAGCAGCTTTATTTGTGATGTGGCCACCATAGGAATGAGCGATCACTGTGCTGATGAATTATCCCAGACTCAGTCGCTTTAAACAGGAAAGGTCTATTATCTCACAGTTCAGTGGGTCAGGAATCCGGAAACAGCCTAGCAGGGTGGCTTTGGCTCAGGATCTCACAGGTTTGCCGGGATCAGCCAGGGTCAGGGCTCAGTGGGTTAAGCATCTGACTTCGGCTCAGGTCATGCTCTCACGGTTTGTGGGTTCAAGCCCTGCATCGGGCTCTGCGCTGACAGCACAGAGCCTGCTTGGGATTCTCTCTCTCTCTCTCTCTCTCTCTCTCTCTCAAAATAAATAAACTTAAAAAAAAACAAAAACAAAAAAACTTGAGGCCAGAGTCAAGATGGCCCCTCTCAGGCTCCTAGAGTGTCCTCGGGTTGTGGCAGCTAACTTCACCCAGAGCGATCGGTCCCAGGGAGCGAGGAAGCTGCAGTGTCTTTTATGGCCTAGTCTCCAAGGTCACATGCCATCATCTCTTCCGCTTCTTTCCATTCATTAGTCGCTCAAGGCAACCTCGAGTTAGCTTCCGCTCCTGAAAAGTACCGAAGGATTGGGGGCCAGGGGCTAAAACCGCATGGGACCTGAGAGCGGGGATTACAGGCAGAGAAGGGAAATTCTCCCGTCAGGGTGGGTGGAGGGCAGGGGTGGGGGGGTGCCGAGGGAGACTGGCTCAGTGTCTGTCGCCCCAGCAGGACCTACGCTATATCTTCATCCCCTCTGACATCCGCGACTACGTGATGCTGAGATCGGCCATTCTGGGTGTGCCTGTCCCTGAGGGCCCTGACAAAGGGGACAGGTGAGCAGGGTGCGGGCGCAGGGTGCGGTAGTGCTGGGGCCCCCCCTGCTTGCTCCCCGGGCCCACTGTCAGGCAGGGAGAGTGGGGGAGGGCAGCAGGGAAATCCCCAAGAAGCCGACAGGGTGTTGGGCATTAGGCTCTTGCTTTCCTCCCCACGGAAAGGCCCAGCGACCCCGCCGGTCCCCAGCAGCCCCCTGAAGGGCCGCTTTTCTGAATGGAGCCGGCAGGCCTGGCCGGTCAGCTTCCCGCTGCTGTCCCCATCGCCCACGCGGCGCCCGGCCCGCGGCTTTGACTGGACCCTCCCTCTCCTGACCCTGCTGTCCTGCTGAGCACCTTGTGTCTCAGACTGAGTGGGGGCGGGAGGGGGCCCCGCCTGGTGTCCATGCCTCTTGTCCTGGTGGGCACCCCCGGGCACCGAGCCCGTGCACTGGGAGAGCAGGGGACACGGGCCCAGTGTCGTGCAAAGAGAGAACAAGGAGCGGTCTGCCTTTTCTCCCCCGCCTGCCTGGGCAGCCGCCTGTGACCCGCTCTTTTGAACCACGTCCCGGCCTCAGCTGAACCTTCTCGCTGTGGTGCTGGGACAATCCCTTGTCCCCGAGTCAAGTCCTTCCAAACCCGCGCCGCCTCTGCAGCCGCTACGACCAGCCCCCCCTACCCTGGTGCCCCCCGGACATGTCAGCCACCCCCAAAAAAGCAGCTTGTGAGGTCCTTAGGGGTTAAGCCCCCCGAGGCCCCGGGGCCGCTCACGCTGGCCGGCCACCGCCCCACCCCCTGCCTGGGTGCCACTCAACAATCGCCCGTGATGCGGCACCTGGTCATGAGAGTGGGTTTTGTGACACGGGCGGGACCGGGCTCTTGGGGGGCCCGGCTCAGGGACATTGGTCGGGTGGTCACGAGCCTCCCCAACACCAATGAGCTCCCCCTCCCACACCCCCAGTCCGTCCCCCACCCAGTCCCCCTCCCAGTCCCGGTCCAACCACGTCAGCCCTGCTGGCCAGCAGCCCCTCCCCAGCTCCGGGGGCTCAGCCCCGTCTCCGTCCCCCACCCGGGGGCCTTCCTCCCGCCCCCCCTCTCACCCTCCCACTCCCACTGCCTCTCAGCCCTCTTCCCGGGCGTCCTCCCTGGCCCCCAGCCCCCACGGCCAGCATGTGCCCCGAGGCTCTTCCCAGGCCCTCACCCCGCCCGCCTCCAAGTCCCCTTCCCAGTTGGGGTTCAAGTCCGTCTCTCGAAACTCTTCCCAAACCCCTCCCATACCCGTCGCCAGGTCCCCCTCCTACAGCCCGGCCACCTCGGCCTCCTACATCGGGCCGGTGCGGGGCATCCCCTCCTACATTGCCCCCTACGTGTCCCACTTCCTGAAGGAGCCCCCCTTCTTCCAGCCCCCCACCGTGCCCCTCCCCCAGAACCAGTGCTTCCCCTGCCCGCCCCGCAGCTGCGAGCACGCGCGGGTGCCGGAGTCCCTCTACTTCCCCCTGCTGCCCCCTCCGCCCCACCACCCCCGGGTCAGCTGCTCCTACCCGACCCCGCCCGCCCTGTTCACGCCTCCCTCCTCGCTCTCCTACTCCCCACCTACCGAGGTCCTGGTGAGCGGTAAGCCGCACGTGGTGCCCACCGTGCTGCCGGCCACCTTCTACACTCCCTTCTCCCGCTACTACACCCAGCCTCGCCCCTACCGCGTGCACCGCCGCAGGCCCAGCGCCTCCCCTCTCACCTCGCTCCCCCACCTGTCCTTCGACGGCCCGGGCCGCTCTGTCCACTTCTTTCATGGGTCCTAGGCCTCAGACTTATTTCGGACCAGAAGCCTCTGCTGGGAAATTCAAGCTACTGCATCCAGACTTCATCAGCTACCTGAAGGAGAGGTAGGTGCATGTGGGCAGGGGGGTGGTGCGGGTGCACGAAAAACGGCCCCCTGCCGGCCCCCCTGCACGCCAGCCTCCCATCGCTGCAGGCCCTGGACGGCCACTTGCTGTGATGTACAGGGAGAGCCAACCTATATGAGGCCCAAACACGCAGCCCGAGGGGCCCGTGGGGATCAGCCTGGGGCGGCAGCCTGGTCTCCTTCCCCGCTCAGTCACTTGCCCTCCCCCCCTTCTGGAGACATTCTGGTTGTCACTAGGTACAAGCCACTAGCCAGTAGAGACCAGAGATGCAGTTGAGCATCATTACAATGCACAGGGCATCCTTGCATCAAAAAACGACTTGACCCAATGTCAATAGCACTGTGGTTGGTCGCAAAGCCTCCAGGCTGGCGCCACAGAGAGCGGTGAAGCTTGGCGGGCTGAGGGGTGGGGGGTGGGGGGTGGGGGTGGTGAGGAACCAGCTCAGAGAGGCTGCGTGGTTGGCCTGGCACAGCTCAGAGACCTCAGTCGTTGGTCACGAGCCTCCCCAAGCTGGGATGCTAAGGCTGAGGTCAGGCTCACTTCTGGGCTCGGCGAGTGTGCGCACCCTCCCCGCCCCTGCCCGGGGGTCTCAGGCGCCATCTCACCAGTGACTCTGGTCCCAGCACCTGGGTGTCGTGTCCCTCGCGTCCCACATAAGGGATTCCCGCTTAGCTGAAGTCTGGAGATAGAGCCTGGGGACAGGGCTCAGGCTGAATACACAGGCCGCCTGGTGCCCTACCCCACCCCCACCCCCGCCCCGTGGGTCCCTAGCCCCAGGGGGCAGGCAGGGTGTTGCAGGGAGGAGAGGGGACTTAGGCGGAGCTCAGGCTCCCAGAGTGGGAGGGCGGCAAGGCCTATCCTGTGGTTTTCTGCACGGGCCTGCGCCTTTCTCACCCCACTCCGTGACCCAGACTTTCGCATGTTGGGTTCACCTGGGTTTTTCCTTAGTGGGGAACGGACTGCACTAGCACAGCCGGGAAGTCCTCGCCGGGAAGCGAAAGGGCAGGGCCATCGAGTGAGTGAGACCTGATCCTCTCTCTCGAGTTTTGATGGCCTCTCTTTGCCTCCAGGTTTTTGAAGTCAAAGTTGATTAACACAAATTTTGGAAACCTATATATGCCGAGTACTGGGGCCCTCATGCTGCTGACGGCTTTGCACACCTGTGACCAGGTAAGGGGCCCTCTCTTTCAGGAGCCCACAGCCGCAGAGGACAGGCGTGGGTGGGACCTAATGTGACCCGTGACCCCCCCTGCACGAGGCCGGTCACCCCCACCGCCACCCCCGACCTGGAACTCCGCCAAGGAAGAGATTTCCCAGCTGCAGGAGCGAGCTGGTCTCCGAAAGGGGCAGGAGGAAGTGGGGTGAATGTTCGAGGGTCCTTTCCAGGACAGCTCGGGGGCCGGCCTTGCTTTCCTCCGGCGGCCCCCCTGCCCCAGCCCTTCTGTCCTTCACCCTCTCTTCCCCCGCAGCCCTTCCCCATGGCACTCAAGGCTCACGTTATCAAGCTGTTCTTACAGAACCAAAATCTTCACAGAAGTGGACAGGGATGCATCCTTTTATGAGTACATTCTAGAACTGAGCTGGACAGCAGGTGTAGCCTTCCACGCACAACCTTTGGAATCAGCGCAGGAGATGTCCCCAGTGTACTGTTGTCCACAGGAGCCACGTGGACACAGCCATGGAACAGTGTTCAGTTGCCCACGCTTAAGCCAGCAGGGGGCGGGGGCCCCTCTCCACAATGCTGCTCCCCACCTTTTCCCCGTTGTGAAGCAGCAGTCTCTTGACCATGTTCCCATTAGAACGACAGGAGTAGTCATGAGCTTTTGCCTCCGTCTTGGGCTTAATAACGGAGACAACGGCTTTGACCAGTTGACATCACAGACCAGAGTTTAAACCCAGCCCAGCCACTCAGTAGCTTGTGACTGAGGACATGTTCGTTTCCCTGTTTGTTTGTTTTTTAAGTTTACTGAGAAGGAGGGGAGGGGCAGAGAGAGGGAGAGAGAGAATCCCAACCACCAGGCTCGGTGCTGTCAGTGCAGAGCCTGACACGGGGCTCGATCTCACGGTGAGATCACGACCTGAGCAGAAATCAAGAGTCGGACCCTTAACCGACTGAGCCACCCAGGCACCTTGAGCTTGAACTACTGTTTGTCTGTCTTCAGCATGGCATCTGGGGGTGGGGGGTGGGGGAGAGACTGTGCTTTTCCGAAGCCCCATCCCTTCCAGATCTGTCTGCACCTAGCTCAGGAAACACTAACTCAGTGACCATCCTTGCCTAGGTTAGTGCCTATGGATTCATCACAAGCAACTACTGGAAATTTTCTGACCACTACTTTGAGCGAATAAAGAAGCCACTGATATTCTACGTCAACCACGACCTGTCCCTGGAAGCCACCTTGTGGAAAAGCCTGCACAAGGCTGGCATCCTTCGACTGTACCAACGCTGACCCTCAAGGACCTGCAGAGCTGTGGCCCTCACCCCCCACGCGGCCGGAGCTGCCCTGACTGTTCAGTCTCTGAGAAGGGCTCCGACTTTCTCCTCCAGAGGACATGAAGAGTGGACTGGTGGCCGTCACTGGGGCGTGTCCATTGCGGGTCACCCTCATTTCGGTCTTGGTTCCTCCAAGTCTCCCTTCAGGGTCTGAGACAGACATCCTGACCCTGGAGAAGGGAGGGCCGCTCTGCTGGGCATCTCACGGCGGAAGGGAACACCAGAGGAGACTGGGAGCCTCCCCAGCAAAGGGCCAGCATACTTCAGAGTGAAGGATCTTCGAAGCCAGCAGCTGGCACCGGGCCACCGGAGGGGAGCAGCCGCGGCATCCCCACCGACCAGCAGTAGCCTGGGCGCACACGCGCTCCCCAGCCGACCCCTCCCACCAGCATGTCCAGCTCACAGACTCCAAAGCAATTAGACTCTCAGACATACCTAAACCACCTGAGGACACCCCCACTTCCTTCTGCCCCAGGATGTGACGGAATGGGAGCACACACAAGGCAGAATGTAATCTGAAGCCGGTTAATTGCATAAATGATGGATGACCATTTTTGTCTTTTGTGTGTGCTGGGGGGCGTAAAAGGGGGACCTGGGGCAGGACAACCCAGGAACCGTGAGCGAGTCCTGGTATTGACCGGGGTCAACAGCACAGAAGGCTGCTTGCCGGAGGGACATCCCACTGGAGACCGGCCACTGCCTTGCCACCCGGAAATCATCAGCAGATGGCCCTTCAGCTTCACATCAGGGCTTTAATAAATTTGGACTCAGTTGATTAGCAGTTTCATTTTAGGCCACTTACGTGGGCTTCTATGAAAGATAAAGTCTCAACTCGACCCATTATCACCATAGAGCCCCTCAGCCCTGGATTTACTGGCCCGACGACTAGTAACCTGGTATCTGATCTGCTGTATCGGGCAAGGCTGGGGTGGGGGTGGGGGGGGCGGTGCCCACAGGGCTGGCTGGCAAGTGCCTTATCAACATGGCACGGATCACCACTGGCCAGTCCACCAGCACCCAGGAGCTGGCCTCCGGCTTGGTGGTTTTGGGAGATCCTATCAACATGTTTAGCGAGAAGGATGAACTGTCACCAGAATCAAAATCCTACTTTAGGGGTGCCCAGGTGGCTCAGTTGGTTAAGCATCTGACTTCAGCTCAGGTCATGATCTCAGTCCGGGAGTTCGAGCCCCACAATGGATCCTGTTTCAGATTCCGTTTCCCTCTCTCTCTGCCCCTCCCCCACTCGCTGTCTCTCAAAATAAAATAAAGACATAAAAAAAAATCCTACTTTAGAAATTCAGATGGGATTAAGAGGCTTGGGCTTTCCTGAGCGAGGCAGCTACTTGAACCTACTTGAACCCACTGCTTCCTGCTGCAGAAGTTTAGATTGGGAGGGAGGGGTGAGCAGTTCAGAACAAGAGGCCAAGTCCTCTCTCTACTTCAGCTCGAGAACAAACTGTCCCTTGGTCTTAAGGACAGTAGGGCCCCAAGTGTTTCTCTCTGGATTGAATGGTCCAGACAGAACACCATCAAACGTGGGCTCTGTGGTACGGAGTCCGTCCATCCTAGGGTCTGATTCAGTGACCTTCACTAGTACAGAAACAGGACAGGCTTGCGAAGCCGGCACAGCCCAAGTTAGGACTCCTGACCACCCCCCCCACCCCGCCGGTGTCCGTAACACTTTGTCCCTGGTCCCGTCACATCCACAGCTATCAGAACCTCTGTCATCTGTCAGATGTGACAAGTGCTAAAGCTGCTTGTGGGTGGCAACCCATTAAGAGGAGCAGAAAATCAATTTAGTGGGAAACTTAGGAAACAAAACATCTGCTCGCATCCTATGAACTGTCAACCCTCGTGACCAGTAATCCGTGAAACTGTCACTTACACAACACGGTTAGCTGAGCGGGAATAAAGTCCCACCACGTGGGGCTCCATGTGAAATCCAAAATGTTACAAAGCCCATTTTTAAACACTTTTATTTGTGCTTCAAAATTTAAGGCCAAGACAGAACGTCAGGGAAATCCACCCTGAGAAACGCCCTCCAGGCAGAGCACCTGCCTCCCCTTGGTCCCCTGAACACAAGGCGCACACGCTAAGCGCTTTCTGCCACCATCGCTGCGGTCCTGCCGATGCGCAAATTACACCCACGTCAGTGAAACGGGGGATGTTCTCAGCTGTGCCCTGACTCGGCCAACTGCTGAAGCCTTTCCAGGATAGTCACTCATGTTCTCTGGGTGCTTTTCGGAGACGAAGGCCTAACAGCTCCGTGGTCACAGTCCTCTGGGGGGGGAGCGGGGTGGTGTCACTTCACGGGCACCAGCAACCAGCACCAGGACATGCTGCTCCGCTCGGCATCTCTGCGCAGAGAACCTGCAAGACCAGAGGAGAATCATCCGCTAGAAGTGCCAGCAGGGGACTCACACCTGAAGGCTACACATTGTTTTAATTTATTTTTTGTGTTTTATTTACTTTTGGAGAGAGAGAGAGAGTCAGGGAAGGGTCAGAGAGAGAGGGAGATACAGAATCATAAGACAGACAGGCTCCAGGGTCTGAGCTGTCAGCATACAGCATAACGTGGGGCTCGAACCCATGAACCATGAGATCATGACCTGAGCCGAAGTCGGATGCTTAACTGACTGAGCCACCCAGGCGCCCCTGAAGGCTACACTTAAAGACCCTAATTTAGAGAAGAAAAGGCAACGGGGGCAGGACATTCTAACCAAGCACGAGGCCCGGGTGTCGAAGGCACCGTTGGGCAGGCCGGTGCGGCTCCCGGAGGGCTCGGAACTGCGAGCCGCCACTCGGGGACCAGGACACGTATGGCAGGCGGCCAGTCTGGGCACATTAACAGCTGACCCTCTTCTGGAGGGAAGACATTTAAAAGTCAAAACCAAAGGTCTACGCAGGTCCCACGGAGCAGTCAAACCCACTTGCAGCAGCCAGAACGCAAGCAGCAGATCCCCCCACTCGCTAACGCGTCCTTCTACTTGGTTTCGCCTCAGGCTGTAAGCAGCTGGGGCCAGTTTTCAGGCTTATTAAATCCCACCCCACATCCAGCTTCCTTGGGGACCGAACAAATATGTGACCTTAAAGGGCCCACACATACCTCCCAATGTGAACAGAAAAAGGCAATCTGCCCGCTTCAAGCCTGGCATTTAAACGGGAACAGCGCCAGACGCCGGCCCGGCGCCTCTGTGCCACTTTCTCGCTCACGTGCCAGCCGGCCCGGGCCTCTGCCACCCGAGGGGGCTCCGGACAGCCCTGCCGCGGGACGTGATGGCAGTTGACCCCGCGGAGCTGCGGGAGCCCCTCCCCCTGCTGGAAACAAAGCACCTGGAGACCAAAGCTCTGCGGGTGCCACCGAGGGCCTGTGCTGAATGTCACGATGTGCCGCGGAGGCCACGGCCCTCCAGCACTCACAGCGCCACCGCTGGCACACTCCCGACCGTTATGAAGAGTGCTTTCATTTCCTTGAAATGTGGGACAAGCACTCTTTCATCGCAGTTAAGAACATGACCCCAACCGGGCCACTTGCCCATTCCTGCCACCTCCTCTAGCCTGTACGGGCAGGACCATTAACCCAGGGGCCTAGAGCGTGACCAGGCGGCCGAACCATCAGTCTTCCAGTTGTAGAGGGATGGGGGGTTGGGGGCGGGTGTCTCAGCAGGGCAGACGCAATTCCCTCTGCAGTCCGTTCAGTTTAATCCCCGATAAAGCCTGAACTGTTTTTCCCTTTAAGTTTATTTATTTATGAGAAAAAGAGAGCGTGAGAGGGAGGGGCAGAGAGACCGAGAATCAGCGCAGAGCAGAGCCTGACACAGGCCGCGACCTCATGGACCATGAGATCACGACCTGAACCCAAGTCAAGTTGGAGGCTTAACCGCCTGAGCCATGCAGGCGCCCCGAGCCTGAGCTTGTTTTGAGAGCACAAGACAGACCCCAACGCCTCAGAATAGATGGGTTTCCCCTCAGCCGAGGTTTTCAGACAGGGATAACTGACCATCATCGGCCTGTGGGGCTTCTCAGGAAAACAGAGACTCCTGAGCAACAGGGGAAGGGCCAGCTCACTCACTCACTTCGGGCGAAGCAGTCCGTGCTCTCGCGCTGCAGACACCTAGAGAAGCAAACAGACCCGTGTTACGATCTCCCCACCACTCGGCACAACCCTACACCCAGGGCAAACCCGACATGCCAGCCACATCTGTCCAGAAGGTCTCCGCTCACACACACCAGCAAGTCTCTGCTTCGCGTGCAGGGGAGCGGACACGGCGCTGCTGGTGGCATCTACCTCTGGAGGGATCAGAGGCCAAGGCGGCGACTGGACCTGGTGGGAGAAATTGCGAGGGAAAAATCTGCTCAAGATCCACACGGTAACTCCCAAGCGGCTCACTTTTAAATCAGACCTGAATTTTCTATAGAGCAAACCTGGGAAACTGAGTTTCAGACAACCACGTTCCACACAGAAAGGCCTCTTGGCCTTCAGACAGGGATAACTTTACATCATCACGAACTCAGCTCCCACCAACCTGCCAGCTCCCGGGACCGACATTCACAGCGCGTGCGGAGTGCAGGTTTGCCTACCAAATTCTGCTTTAGTTCCCTCACAAGCATTCGCAAACTTGTCTACTCTGTTAACTTTCCTTCAAAGTTAAAAACTGTTGATACCTAGTGCCTAGATGTACCCAGCATCCCAGACCTGATGGACACTTCCTGCCCTTTATTTTATTTTTTTAATGTTTATTTTTGAAAGAGAGACTGGGCACGAGCACGGGAGGCACAGAGAGAGAGGGAGACAGAGAATCCCAAGCAGGCTCCAGGCTCCGAGCTGTCAGCAGAGCCCGACATGAGGCTCGAACCAACGAACTGTGAGATTATGACCTGAGCAGAAGTGGATGCTCAACTGACTGAGCCCCCAGGCGCCCCCTGCTCTTTTAAAGACAGGATCTGCCTCAGCAAAAGTGCCTGCGAACAGAATATGGGGCTTATCTTCCAGTGTCAGTAAAATGCCCCAGTCAATGCGGTTACTTCTTCCAGGCAGCCCGTTCAAGGCCAACTGCACACGGTAGCCTGCTGCCAAGAGGCAACACCACACGAGGTCATTTCTCCTTCACTCACCTCTGCGTGCGAAAGGAGCCACAGAGCAAGATCAGTTTTTTAAGCAGAGGATTATAGATCTGCCCCAAGAGCTACTTAAAAATAGCCGGGGCTATAATCTTGGCCGCAGTAAAAATCCCTGAGCTCAAAGGAGATCAGATCTAATTTTTCCTATACAACTGTTCTTACTTACAACGACCACCCAATTCCTGGGCTCATGCATACCCGTGGCTGGAGGTATACATTGTAACTCTTTGTAGGTAGTTCGGCCTTATAGCCAGGTCTAGAAAGCAGTAACACTGTTTTACAAAGAACTAAAGCTCTGGTGGGGTTCTTCCCTAACAGGCTGAGACTAGAGCCCAGGTCTTTCAAGTTCACCTAATAGAAGGTCTGTTTCATCAACCTCAGCTCTGATGTTCTGGGGACACAGTCTTCCTAGTGGGGAGCTGTATTGTGCACTGCAGGATACAGAGTGCATCCATTAGATCCCATTAGCATGCTCCACCCCCAGTAGAGAGCCACTGGTCTAATCCCCGCCCCCCTCACCAACTGGTCTGATCAGAACTCAGTTATTTCTCAATTGAGACTGAAAAATGGTTTTAGCACCCCTACACAATCTGGCATATTTTTATGGTTCTTTATAAAAACAAAACAAAAACCCTAGTTTTATTAACTCTAA